ATATGTGTACACGTGCCACATATATGTATATGTATGCATGTGTGTGTGTGCGCGTGCACACACATTATATATATATATACATATATATATATGTATATATATATATATATATATATATATATATAAAAGCAGAACATTTTAAAGAGTTCTTCAGGAAAACTACATGCAGGAATTACAAAGACTGAGGATTTTGTTCCCAGAAAATATAAAAAGCATAGAGAATTTTATCATGACCTCCATAGAGCTTATGAAAGAGGCTGAAATATTTGTGTTGGTACAATAAAATTAAGAAGACTTTGAGGTTGAAGGACAAATGTTAAAGAGGCTTTAGTTGATCTGAAATATTTTGTCTATCTCAGATAGACTTCATCAGGTCTCAACGGCACCAATGTAAAATAGTCTAAACATAGATGTGAGGCTTACTTTGTACATATATTCATTCAATATATGTGCCCTTGGTTTTTATTGTGTACATATACATACATATTTATATACGCAACTTATTGAGACAATGTATGAATGAGTTAGTTTCATTTTGCAAAGATAAGCCTCAAAATAAACTGATTACAGCATAAGGTATCCCTAAGTACAATTTGGTACTTCATCATGAACTCAACTGTTTTGATATTGACTCGCCAAATTTTTATTGGCCTTATATTTTATTGAATCATTGTTAAGATAAGGTATGAAATATAATTAATTATGCAAGATTCTACAAAGGATACAAAAATGAGTAAGATATGACATTGGCATCAAGGATTTTACTAGTAGAGTAGATAAAATAAGTTCACAAATAACTGTAATATGTCAGAATATAATACTATATTAGAAATTTTAAAAATAGTGATGTGTGTCAGAGTTGATGTTAGAAAGTGTAATTGAGATGACTTAGGAAAACTTTATAGGGCATACAAACTCCAAAATTTAGGATTTAGGTAAAATAGCATTTGAATTGAACCTTTTAGGTAGGTTTTTGAGAGTTGGTGACATGGATGAAGGACTTTTCAGATGGAGAGATTTACATAAGTAAAGTCTTGGTGTGTCAGGAAAGTATAGCCTTTGTTCAGGGTTAATTATTTCAACAGGATCATGGGATATATGGGGGGAGTAGTGGGAGAGAAGATAAAGAAGAATGTGGGGGTCATATTCCATAGCCTTAAAAATAGATTGAGGAGCTTGGGTTTTATTCGTAAGTGATTAGAAGTCATTTTGAGAAATCTGTGCCTTAATTTCCTCCTTTCTAAAATAAGAGCATCAGACTGTTATCTCTAAGATCCCTTGGAATGCTATCATTAATAACCAGTTATTATAATGTAGATGTCAATTACTACTTCAACTAAGCTTGTGCTACTTATTTTGAGTATTAATTGCCCCCCACAAAATGATTCAGTTTATCCATTAACTTGCCTGCTACTTGACAGCTCAAGCCTCTGACGATTTTTCCATTTTTTTTTCTGGACTGAAGTGAGAAACCATCTGGCTGTATTGGTTCTGAAATGCCTTTGCATGTGGGCTTATGTTGAAGTCATCTCTTCCCAACACCAAAGAATGGATTGTTAAATTTACAGTATGGGCATTTACACCTGGAAGCCAGCAAATGCTACAAATCAGAGATTGATTCATTGTTTTATTGATTGTCTAGACTTTAAAAAATGATGGAGAAAATGTTAAAAATTTAAAAGTCTGTCAGGTGGGTGCATGTATACATTATATGGGGAGGAGGGTATCTTAGAGAGCCAATTGTTAAACAGTTACCACTGAATGCACGTAACATCACTATCCAGTTGTTCCTAATTCATTTACTCAGAGCTATTTCAAGCATATAGATAACACAACCTAAAAGAATAAAGGGCTAAATACTATCCCCCTTCAGAAGTATAGAAATCATTCTACAAAATAAATCATGAGATAATAAAGATATGTAGGTTTCTTCAAAGGCACTGTAAAAACACGTAAGGAAGGTCCACACTGACATGTGGCTACACTATTAAGATAGCCATTATGATTATTAGCTGTGATCTGGATAGGCTGTTAAAATGATTAACCTAAATGTAAACGCATTGCTTGACTCCATATAGACACAGGAGTAATTTCCCCAACATTAATAATACAATTTCTTATCACTGCACAATGACATTGAGACATTTAAGGGGGTGATATATAGAGGTCTTTTAAATAAATTTGGGACTCAATAGAGAAATGTTCTACATAAAAAATGGTATCATTATTGTTTCCTCATATATTACACATGTGAAATTATTTTAAAACAGAATGCTTTGGGGGCAGCTAGGTGGCGCAGTGGATAGAGCTTTGCCTTGGAGTCAAGAGGACCTGAGTTCAAATATGACCTCAGACATTTGACACTTACCAGCTGGGTGACCCTGTGCAAGTCACTTAACCCTGATTACCTCACCAAAAAGCAAAAAATAAAATAAAATAGAATGCTTTGAAGTAAAATAAATTGAACTGATCTACTTATAGTTCCCTGAATATATCTCATGCTTTCTCACCTCGACATTCAGGGTTCATTTCATTCCCTCCACCTGAAATGCCCTTCCATACTCCTCTCTTCCCATTCAAATCCGTTTCAATCTTCAAGAACTTGCATAAATCCAAGGGTGGATGGAAGCTAACTTGTATTGTCTCAGAAAAGCTGAATGTTAAACTCTGAGTGTGAGCATTTGCATCTTGGAAATAAGCAAATGCTACAGATATGGGGTTTGTTTTATTGTTTTATGGATTTTCTAAACTTATGAAAGTGATAGAGAAAATGTTAATAATGCAGATAATAATTAAAAGTATGTCATATATAATTTTTCTTGGAGGGCCAATTGGAAGATGTTTACCAGCACATTGCCACCTGTGTCCTTTTCCCTTTGTACATAACTCAAATAACTGAATGTTCATTTTTGAAAGGGAAATACTACAGCACATATTCCCTGTACCATTCGTTTAATCATTTATCACATGCTGCCCCAGACTACTGTTGCTGTTGGTGGTGGTGGTGGGGTGGTGGTGGTGGTGGTCATAGATTGTAAACTCTTTTGCCAGGCCATAAAATCCTTGCAGGAAGTGACTTTGTTATTTATCTTTGTATTCTCCAAAGCACTTAGCACGGTGCTTTCTTCTACATATTAGATGTTTAATAAATAAATATTGAATGAATAAGTGAATGAATGAACTATTATTTAGCTCTTAAAATATTGTTGAAATTTCACATGTTCATTCCTTTCATGATACCCCTACAAGTAATATTCTTTTGCAGTCCTGTTTAATCTTATTGTCTTCCTTGTGAGAATAATTTTAATTTGTCATATATATGATAAAATATTTTATGTGAATTAAATATACATGTGCATTTGCTAAAAATCACTTGTTGATACTTTTTCCCATATAACACTGTGTGCTATATCTGCCATGTGTGGGTATGTATGTGTGTATAAACATAGCTATTTGTATGTTTTCTCCCCTATTAGAATATTAGCTCATGTAGGGAAGGACTGTTTTTGCCCTCCTATCCTCAGAATTTAGCACAGTGCCTGACACAAAGCAAGTGTTTCAAAAATGTTAATTGACTGACTCAATAAATAGCTATTGACTGGTTGATTATGGAGATTTTTGCTAAACTAGAGAAAAAAATAAAGGAGATTTTCTATGAATTGTCCCACTAATTTCCTTGTCTCCATTTTGCATGAGAAAAATCAGTGTATATAGTTTTAGTTTTGAAGCAATGTGTGAGAATTATTTTCAGTAACATAAGTGAAATGAAAAGTCCACGTTCTGTGAGACATTAGGGGAAATACAGTTTTGTTCAGAGAACTGGCAGTTTCTCTGTGTGTGCTTTAAGCTAATTCTAATAACAAATTTCCAATTCTAAAACATATCAGATCCCCAAATGATTCATTCTTTACTACGTAACCAGCTACATCTGTCCTGCTTGCATATGACCATGAAAATGTGGCCCAGTATATATGGGAATAAAAATGTACCAAGTCTACTTTTTTATCTTTTTTCTAAATCTTCTAGAGTCTAGATAAAAAAGTGCAATGTATGCAATGTAACACTGTCAAAGTTCATAACTTCATTTAGTATTTAATACTTGAGTGTGGGTTTTTAATTAGGAGGGAAAATTGCCATCTGTAAACACATGTAGCTACATCAAAACTACGTATTTATATAAATGACTTGGTAATTATACTTAACTATACTTAACAGGCTCAGAGTATTTGTAATGCTATGTAATCTCTTCTCTGGTTTCTTTATAAGAAATAACTTTGTAAGAAATAACTTTGTCTCAAATTAGGTGCCACCAATTCCATGAAAGAACCTTGTTCTTACTTAGAGATGGTTTTGAGATGATAACCATCAGTCCTTTACATGAAAATGAAGAAATGCTTGCTTAGTATTTAGAATAGCATTTGCCACATATACTTCCTTAAATAAAAAATGTTTTATTGGTGCTTTTTCCCCTAGAACACTGTCACTTCTCATTATTATCTCCTCGCCTCCCAAATAAAATTCTTCTTTGTACAGATGAGCAAAACAAGTCAACATATTAGTCATGCTGTATAACATATGACAAGACAAGAAAGGTCAATCCTCCATTAGTCCACCAGAGTAAAAATTGGTCAACATGTGAATTGGTATTCTCATGTCTTTCACTGTTGTTAGCCTACATTGAAAACCCAGAGGCAAGCCCAGAGAGATGTGGGAGATTCTAAAGTTGGAATGTGACATTTGAGTCTTAGATAATATTTGAGCACATTTTAAAATTGGTTTACACACAACTCATGTTGACCTTTGAGAAATAATAACCACATATGGCACAGCATGAGTAAAATAGATGTTGATTTTCTTTGCAGTAGTCACGAAGTAACAACCTATTTTCCCTCACTTGACAAGATTGATTATAAGCAATTATATGTTTGAGAACATGATGTATTTTCTTAAGATGATCTAGTTAGATTTCATTGACAATTAAATCAAATTGGTCATGTAGATTCAACTCATATGTGAAGCTTAAACAAAATAGCACAATTTTTTGGATGACAATTATGTAATTCTTTGAAAAGGATATTCCAGTTCTTGAAGGATTGGTGAAGTTTTGGTTATCATATTCATAGCAATATGTGCATGGTGGCATCTTCTGTTCTCAGTTCAATTCTCACTTGATCAGCTGCTCTCTGGATATGAAAGGGTGCAATAAAAAATATCCCACTGGGAAATTAGGAAAATAAACTTCTTTCTCCTATCTCTTTTCTAATTGTCTCCTCTGGGAGGTAAACAAATGACGGAGGTGAAGGAGGACCTACTTGCTGATTGATGCTCAAGACACGGACCTCCTGAAACCTTGGAAACATACCTTCATAAGTTCAGTCACACTCCTATAGCTATATTAATTTAAAATTATAGAAATTTAAAGTTGGAAGGGACATTAGGGGTGATCATTAAGTCTGACCTCATCATACTGATGCCTTATTTCTTTTTCCTTTTTGTAGAAGGGAATGTATTCAATTTTAAGTGCAAATGTTTATAAATATATCCATTTGTTATAGAACTCCAAATTTGTACATCATTATTGTTGTTGTTATTATTATCATCATCATCATCATTATTATTATTATTATTATTGATATCAGTAATTGTATTTTTCTCTTTGAATCCTAAGAGGTCAAAATCTTTTCTTTATCTCATTGGCCCTTGCCATGTAATAAGAGAATAAAGAAAAGAACTAACATTTATATAACACTTTAAGGTTCATTGAAGTACTTTATATACATTATCTCATTTGATCCCCACAACAACCTTGTGAATTAGGTACTATTAGGATCCTTATTTTGCAGATGAAGAAACTACTGAGAGGGATTAAGTAATGTGTTCAAGGTCCCACAGCTAGTAAGTGTTTGAAATAGGATTGCAACTCATCTTCCAGACTCCAAGCACTCTATCCGCTATGCCAACTAACTGCTGATATTCCTATTCACATATGGGTAAGCGGTGGCTTTAGAAAATGTTACACAAGTGAATCTGGGAGCTCAAATACTCACCAGATGACTTTACCACAAAGCTAAAACTCTGAAGTCATTAAATGAATCCTGTATTACTGAGATGTCCCCTTCATCAAAACCAACCTCATCACCACTAAGACATTGTGTGGAAACTATACTTTAGCTTAAAGTTTAGAAGGCCTGGATTTGAATCCTGCTTCAGTCACTTGCAAGTGTTACAACCCTGGGTATAACCACAGCCTATCTAAACTTGTTTCTTCATTTGTAAAAACAAGGATATCACCATTATGTCCAAGTGTTGTGAGACTCAAATGAGATGATATATGTAAAGCACTATTTACATGCCATGATTATTCCCAGTTCCTTAAATTCAGATAAGAAAGATGAAAGAGAACTGGATTCTGTAGTGTTGAGGAATTAATGATTATGTCTGAGAGTCAGCAGGCTAGTACTTGATGAGAAGTACTTCTTTTTCCTTCTCTCTTCTCTGCATCCCCATGCCATCCTCTAGGTCCCAGTCCTTGGTCCTCCATTTGGTACTGGTGATTAGTAGATTTCATTACTACACCTAGCCAGTGATTAAAGAGAAGGCACTTTGAGATGAGAACAGAACATCAGAACATTTCATAAGGAGATTTTTTTCCTCTATTGAATATAATGTGCAGCTATTTTAAATCACAGCAATTTTCTAGACTTTCCCTGGGCACTACCATCATCAATCATTCGTAGAGTTCTGGGGAGAAAATGAAGTTGTCATATATGCATTCATAGTAACTTCTTAGCAAATATAAAATGTGCCCACAAATATAGCACTAGAACCCCACCCCTTTTCTTTCTCACCATCCATGTGCCTACATCCTTAATTTAGCTAATAAGCAGCAACTTCCCTTTTTCCCTCCCTACATCATGCCTTTACTAAAACAGAAAATCCGGGAATTTTTTCTCACTGTCCTGGAGGTTATGTAACTAACACATTTTTAAAACTATTATGCATCTTCTTCCTGTGGTCACTTTGAAGAATGTTATTCTTAGCATTTGCAAGTTCTGCTATGTGTTGCTGGGTAAAGAAGACCACTGATTTTTTTTTAATCCCTCTGTTTCTGTTATGGCATACAGAATGGGACATTACATTTTCCTTATCTTGATATGAGTAATGCCATTTTAGAATGTCTCCATTTCAATGTAAAAGAGCAGTTACATCTAACCTATATATTTTGCCTTATTTGGTTGCTCTTTTACAATGACAACTAAAGACAGTCTAAGCCATCTTGGATCTCTGAGGCCAACTGTAGACTTGTCAGTTAATCAGTTAATTGAAAAATGGTAAATATGTTCCTTTGTTGAATATTACTTTCAAAAGCCTACTTGTTCCCTACAATACTCTCATCAGACATGCCCTTAATTCATGTATAGATAACCCAATGTTTTGTGTGAAAGAAAGTAGGCATGTAGGTTCACGACTATTGATTTTCCCTTTCTCAGTTTTAATAAGTTCTAAGATTTTTTTTCATTCTTTTGGTATCTTCACCTCTTTCAGATATTTGTCTCTCAAAACATTATTTTGATACCTCTAGAGCTGGCCTTCTTTATATACATTATGACTAACCCAGCTGTTTTTTCCTTTTTTTGTTCTCCCCAATGCCATTTTTACCTCCTCTATAACCACATCTGGGCCTGAAATATTAGAGTCCAAGAGTGGTGGTTCTACTGTCTTTATTGAAGAAAATAGTTTGTTAAAATGATTTTTGAAAATCTTTTCCATGTTTCTTCTGTTTGTGATCTTCTATCTATTTCGTCATTGATTATAGTGCAGAAGTACATGTGTATAATTTATAAGTGACACTAATGGATGATGTTGCTAAAAGTACTTTTTTCTTTCTGCTCTCTCATCCCATGTGCAATAAAGTAGAACTCAATCTCACCTAGGTTTTTTCTATTTCCACCCTGCCTCATTTCTTTTCTCAAATTGGTGGTTGGAGATGTAATTAGCTATTGTTATAATAGCCAGCACCCTATGGGCAGTATAATATCCTTCAGCTCCCGGTGAAGCCTTTGTTGCTTTATGGGGTTTATATCAAACGAAAAATTATTAATACAACCACAATAGCTTAGAGCTCCAATGAAGAAAAATGACAAAGAATAGGACAAATTTTGGTCCTCTGGCCTAACTTAAAATTTTGTGTATTTCTAGCTTACCCCAGTCTCTTTATATTTGGGACAAAATCAGGATACAGGAAACATTTAGGTAGAAGAAGTAAGCTAAGTATATTGAAGTATCTGTACCAGATGGTCACAGGGAAGAAAAATTAAGGAAAGAGTAGATTTATATGTGAAAGCAATTTCCCTTGGTTCTTGAAGAGGTGAATGGCACCAATACCCTCAGTTTACATTTTTTGTTCCTAGATTCTTACTGGGCTTAACAGGTCACCTTTATATCTCCCTTCTCTGCTCCAGTTAGGTCTCCTTTCAATTTCTCCCTTCCCATTTCCCCTTTCAGTTGTTGCCCCTGTACCTCTGAATCTTTCCATCCCAGCTCATTAATTCAAAGATGGGGACTGCTGTGGCTGACACTGCTTACCACTCAGCTATGCAATCCTCACTCCTGCCCTTTTCACAAGTATTACTTTCACAGGCTATGTGTCCCTTTAAGGACTCAAGGCATGACTGAAACCCAACTTCTGGTTCAAAGATTTTAATGGTCCCAAATTGCTCTCTAAGCTTAGAGGGAATTCTTGAGCCTCTGTATAAAATATATGATGCCAACAAATTCTCAAACCTGTGTTTCATTCCTTCTGGTGTTTGGAATTTTGCAGCTCCTTGCAAAATTGTCTATAGTACACTTGGCACCTGAAATTATGCAATAAATAAATCAAATTACATTAGTATTTCATAGAAAAGGGATGATTAACCCAGTGTCCCAGGTAAGGATGTAATTCATAACAAACATATATTCAACAATACATTCATTAGATCTATACAATGCAAAGAATTACTTAGGCTATTTTGGCAGCTACAGGTCTAAATTATGAGCAGGAAATACTACACACACGTGTTTCAGTAATACATACTTATCCATATGCATAATAATGAATAAAATCAAAGCAATAAAAACATTCATTGTTATACAAAATAGCCAGATTATGCACACATAGTTAACAGCACAACTAAGCATAGTTAACAAACTATGTGATCAATGCATATTGTTAATAATAAAAATCAAATAAATATATGCAAGAGAAAAATAATAACAAAACAGGAGCACATTGAACATTTAGCAATTAACATGTGCATTAATGAATATATATAATTACATGCAAGGTGCATATCACATGGATAAACATTAGCATTATCATTTAGCTACATGTGTAGCCATTTTTCTTTATTGTCAATTAGTCTGGCCTTGGCCTTTTCTCTTCTTCAGCTTTCAAAACTGCCTGTCCCTGCCAGTTGATGTTCTGGGCTTATTATAGTGCTCATCAAAACCACAGTGCTGCCTTATGAAGTCTAAACTTGGAGAGAGATCAGGCTGGGTAGCAGTGTTACTACACTCTGTAGGGTATATTTATGCCCTAGGGGTCTGTATGGACAAAAAGGTTTTACTTCTAGGATCAGTTCTCTTTCTGCTTTACTTGAAATACATGGTTTTGAGCCACTATCCAATTTTTTTCCAACTTTGGGTTGGAAAAGCTTTTTTTCAGGCACCAAGGCAAATGGTAACCTAAGAAAATTTTATCTTTTTATTAAGTTGCACTATCATGTATTTAAAGATATGGAAGAAAGCTGAACCGTGCTACTATACTGAGTAGTCCAGTCCCTGGTAGTTTATATCCAATATTGGAATGAAATAAGATACTCACAGGTCATTCTATAGTTAACAAAGGAAGATTTATTTAGCCATAGCAGGAAAAAAACAGTTCAAGGAAGACATATATTAAGGATACTCCCTACTTAATTCAACTAATCAAAGTTCCTCTACCTATGAACTGGTGACCAGGAAGTGCTGTGAATATCCTGAGCCAGTAGTCCCCCTAAGCCAATCAAGTTTCAAGGAAGTTTTCAATACCTTTTAAGAAAAAAAAATACCTAACTTGCCTGGAGGGGAGAGGTAGAGTTATGATACTGCTCCCATCCCAGCCGCATAGACTTTTCCTAAAATATTTTTTAGTAAAAGATACTTAGCAAAGCACTTGGAAAGGGAAGTGCTAAACTTCCCCAAATCACTAGAGATTTGGGACTATGGACTTTCACAAAAGCATTCCACTTGATATTCGGGAGGTAGAAAATGTTCAACATGGAGTATAGTATAGAGGTGAAGTTTCCCACCTAGCCAATTAATATGATACAAGACATTAAATGTGAGGGTGATCACATCTGATGAAGTTATAAATGTGCAAACAAGATGGTGTGTATCCTATGATCTCTTTACAAAGTGTGAACCATTTCTAATGAGGGAAGAAGGAAAAATCTGACTAACTAAATGAACCAACTATAGCCCTAGTGAGCCTTAAATAGAACAGGAATTTGAACAGCTGATTTGGTTCATCAGTAATTCAATGAAGAAGTGGACAATTAGATACTCAGGAGTGCCTTAAGGTGGTAGACCCTTTTGTCTGTTAGAGAAAGCAACAATGAAGGGGAGGAGTGGGACCAGAGGGAGTTTTAGACTTCATCTCCCCCCTCAAAAAAAAAAATAAACTGAATTATTGGAAAGACTGGACTAGTAGGAGACAGCAACTGGGAGGCAGTGTTGCAGAGTGGATAAAGTGACAGAGCAAAACATGAACATGATAAATGAACAAATGCATCCTCAGACAAATGAAGAAAGATAGCCACAAAGGGAAGAAAGAAGTGGCTTCAAGGAGTGTGATCACTAGTACCAGAGAAGAATGTTACCAAAAGACTCAAGAAATGACTTTCTGGAATCAGAAGTTGTCTGCTTACCCTTTGGATGCACCTATTTCCTTCAGTTAATGTCCATTCTCCACATGTATCTATGTGTACTTGTTGGACAATATGCCCCAGAATTTTTTTTGGTCGGGGAAAGGTTTTGTACTAGTTGTTCTTACTATGCCACATTAGTAGATACCCTTTTCTAAAAGATAATTGAAATCTGGCCAATTGATGTTAATAGGAAACACACCAGTTCATAAGCAATACTACAATAAATATATTTGGAATCAACAGGTTTTGACTCCACTTATCACCTTAGGCAAGTTATTTAATCTCGCTGGGCTTCAGATGCCTCATCTCTAAACCTAAAGGGTTGGACAAGATGTTTGCTAAGGTCTCATCTAGCTGGAAATCTTATCTGATCAAGGGTTGATTGACTTTTCCCATATTGAAAGGTTTTGTGTAATCTTTTAGATAAAACTTCTCTGAAATGTTTCTAGGTGGATAAATGCTTTTTTGTTCATTTGAATGGTTAACGTGGACTGAATGAAAGTTCCTAACCCTCACACCTCCAAGAAGCTATATAGTAAGTCTTGAAATGGCCAGGCATCTTTATTGTATCATCCTTGCAAAAATCCTGGCCACTTAATGTGAGTCAACTGTTTTGGGCACAGGAAGACTACAATGATAAAATTCTGTGTTTGGGCTTCATAAACAAATTTGCCCCAAGAATTGGCTAAGTAGGACCTCCATTAGCTTTTCCACAACTTTGCAAAACAAGACATGTTAATTTCCTAAATTTGAAGGATTGTAGGAACTATTCTAAATTAAAGGAACACACTTTGCCCTATTCCATTGTTACTAATGACTTGAACCTGTTGGGAGAAGGGGGGTATGCTTGAACAAAGAGTTAAAAGAAGAGGAAAGACTATTTCTTCAGAATGATGCATTCAACTATATGCTAGCAAGACCTCTCAATTTCCTAAACTAGAAGTGTTGTAGGAACCATTCTAAATTTAAAAAGCTCACTTTGTCAGATTCCATTGTCACTAAGGACTTGAAATCTGCTCCAAGAAGGGGAAAGCCTTCCTGACTAAAGAGTTAAAAGAAAGGAAGAGACTTTTTCATCAAAACAATGTATTCAACTATATGCTGGGTCCTGTGCCAGTAAGAAGTTGGGTGTATTGTGGGGGAGTATTAAATGTTAATTGAAAAATGTTGGAGGCAGTCTAACCTGAAAAGTCAACCCGGGCAGTAACTGCCAAGGAGAAGAGGAGAATTATTATAGACATTATAATTTAGTACTTACTCAGCCCTACTAGTGTGCTAGTCTCTGGAATGGCAACAACCTGAAATAAATGAAATTTAATGTGATTGTGCTTCTGATAATGCAAATGTTCCAGTACAGACAGGGAGGAAACAGTTAAAATTAGGGGTTGTTGATTGGGAGACTTTCATGTAGCTTCCACCCTTGTGCTGAAAAGGTGTAGCTTATTTACTCTTAAAGTAAAAATCAAGAGACATATCAATTCAATTCAATAGGCATACATTAAACCCTGTAAGTACCATATTTATTTCGTCATAGCAGGAGAAAGATATTCAACAAGGATAGGCCTTGAGGATTCTTCAAGTTGATTCTGCTGAGTAAAGCTTCCTTGACTTTGTTATCCATCAGGATCTACCAGGCAAGTCTTTGAAACACTCTCTGTTTCCAGTCTTTGTGGCTCAGGAGATAAGGAAGTGACATCAATAGTCTGAATTCTTAGTCCACTGAACCAACCAAATCTTGAGGAATGTCTCAATACCTTTTAAGGGAAAACTAGTCTAACCTGTGGGGGGAGGGACTAAACTATTGCTCCTACCACATGATGGTGCTAATCTCTTTTCCAGAAAAATATAAATTATTTTTAAATGTTATTGTGGTTTTCTGTTATCATCATGAATGTGAGGGAAAATGTGGCATGCTAGAAAAAGAGCCAATCTCAAAGCCAGGAAGACCCAGGTTCAAGACCTGCCTCTGAGACTTGTTCCCTCTGTCACTCTAGGGAGCTCATTTAACTTTTCAACTGAGATGATAAGTCATAAAAGAAGTGCTGACTTGTATTGGCAGAGGGACTGTCCTCATTCTGGAATCCCCTTTACAAATGATATCACAGGTAAAGTTCCTATACTCCACAATAGACATACCGAACGTTATTTTCCCTGACAGTAAAAGTTAAAACGGATTTTAAGTGGAGTGTATCTGTGGTGTGATAACATTTTATGCAATCTATGAAGAATTCAGGGGCTCTCAGCATGAAAATCTTTGTGTACTTCTCTAGGGGCACATTTAAGGACAATCAATGTGCGACTGAAGCACTGTCTGTAAATACATATATTGAAGGCAGTTTTCTGAAACATATTCTTTCACAAGTAAATCCTTGAAAATATTCAATTATTATAGGCAATTTAAAGATAAGATACAATTCAGCTCTGAAACTTTATTTTTTTAATTGGTGCCTCTTTTTAAAAAAAAATTCAAGGAAAGAGAAATGGCGTGAAAACAATGGAATCTCTTCAGTTTAAAAGACCATTAGAACCTTGAACAACAGAGAACTTAATTCATATCAGCAAATGCATCATATTCCCACAAAAGTCATTGGGATATTCAAGCCAATGCTACTTAGTACATATTGAAATACATTAGCCATACAGCTCTTATACTCAATAAATGGGTATTTTGTTACTTGGCAATTCAGAAATTCACAATAATACAGTATATAAAGCAGATATCTAGAAAAATGTTAGAGATCATTTCTCATCCCTACTTCCAAATCTCAAAGCAAACCCCCAAAATGTCCCAAATAAAGTTATCAAAAGTAGAGCATGAAGATACAATGGGAGACACCTCCAAACATTAAAGGTCTGGGAGGCTATGAAAAGAAAGATCAAATGAGTAAAACAACCAGAAAGGGGGATCAATATGAAAGATTAAACATAAGAAAACAGAAACCAAATAATTTTAAGCTTAAATGTGAATAGATTCAACTCCTCAATAAAATTAAAGGGGGCATGGAATGGATAAGAGACAAAACCCAAACATTTTTGAAAATAGAAATACATGCAGAATTTGTGTGTAATTAAAACAAAACTTAAGTGTTAAGTGAATTTAAAAAGCTGGAGCTACAATCATAATTTCAGATAAGTCAATAATAAAAATTATATTATACATTTAAAGAGATAAACAAGGAAATTACATTATCCCTAAAGACACCATATACAATGAATATATATAATTACCAAATAGATATACACCAATTGACACAGCACTTACATCCTTTAAAAAAAAATAGACAATCAAATAGAAAAAAACAGATAAAATAATAAGATTTCTCTTTCAGAGCTGGATCAATTTTATAGAAAGATAAATGAACAAGTAAAATAGTTTACCAAAGTACAATATTGTAAAAACTTGATTTGAAAAACTTATGGAATCTTCTTGATGTGAATATTAAATAATATACATATTTCCTGTATCACAGATTGCCTTTAAAATTATTACCTACTAGATCATAAATGTGAATGTGTTTCATAAATAAGTGTATTGTTCATAAATATTCATAATTAAGTATGAAGTAGAAAAATAAACTTCAACCTTTTCTGATCATAACAGAATGCAAGAGAGATCCAAGACTTTGTCAACTGGTGAATTCCCAAGTATGAAAGCTCCCGACACCAAAGGAGATTGATAATCCAGCTATTATATAATAGGTAAAACCTGGGGAATTCTAGATTTTTTAAATAATAGGTTTTTAAATTAATAAATTCAGCAAATTCAATAGGTAAATCCTAGGATCTTAGGCACACAGGGAGAAAGACACTTGTCCAGGGTCACACAGCTACTTGTTATCAAAGACAAGATTTTAAATGATTTCTAGAAACAACACTGAATTTGGAGTCAGAGGACTGGGTTCAAATTCCAGCTAAACTACTAACTAGCTGTGTAATCCAGGATAAGTCATTTCACTTCTCTGTGAGTCAGTGTACTCATCTATCAAAAGCATGGATGGACTAAATGGTTTCTAAGGACTCATCCAGCTTTAAATCTATGATCCTATGATAGTATAATGTTCTCTCTCTCTCTCTCTCTCTCTCTCTCTCTCTCTCTCTCTCTCTCTCTCTCTCTCTCCCTCTGTTTCTCTTTCTTTCTCTGTCTCTTCTCTCTGACTCTCTCTGTCTCTGTCTCTCTGTCTTTCTCTCTTACACACACATACACGCATACAAACACATATGCACACACATATACACACACACATGCACAAAATACACTGTTTGAATCTTCTTACACTTTATTCCACAACATGTACTCTTCAATGCAGTGGCACTGACCTCCTGGCTTTTCCTCAAACAAGACCCTGCATCTCAGGCTCCTGATATTTTCTCTGGCTATCCTGCCTGCCTAGAATGCTTTTCCTCCTCTACTCTGACTGCTGACCTTTTTGACCTCTTTTAAGTCCCAACTAAAATTCCACCTTCTATAGGAAGTCTTCTCCATCCCCTCTAAGTTCTAATGTTTCCCTTTCTTAATTATTTCCTATTTATCTTGTATATAGATTGCTTTGTAATGTTTTGTTTGCATGTTATTTTTCCCATTAGATTGTAAGCTCCTTGAAGGTAGACACTGTCTTTTGCCTCTTTTTGTATCCCCAGCACTCAGCACTTTGCCTGGCACATAGTAGGTCCTTAATAAATGCTCAGTAATTAGTGGATAAAAAGTAGTACAGGGAAGATAAGCAAAAGATACAGGCCTATGGCCTGCATCAAGACTGATAAACATTGTAAATAATGAGTAAATCAAAGAACAAATGAAAGAATCAAGAATAATATTAAACCTAGTAGTAACATGAAACAAATACAAAACTTGGAAAAAAAAACAATTCTCAGAAGAAATACTGTATCTCTGAAAAGCATATTTTAGCAAAATAAAAAAGATCAATGATATGAACATATAAATTAAAAGCTAGAACATCAATGAAATATTACTGTCAGCACTCTTTGATAGTTAGAGAAATGGAATATACTATAACTTGGAAACCATATTAACAGCATTAAAAAGTGAAAATATTTATTTGCCACCAAATGTAGTCTACAAGACCTCAAACTGTCACTCAGAAGATATTTTTGTCATTATCACACCTAGCAAGGCAAGGGATTCCCCTTGGTACAAAGGGGATCATGGTACAAAGCTGTGACAGGGCCACAGAGGAAGTTCTGTACCCCTTGATTCTTTGCATTTCACCTCCATAGGGATGTGTGCATTTAATAGAACTATTATCAAAATACAGAGAGGTTTAACTATAGTATATACAGGAAGATATATTAAAATATTAAATTATTAAAGACATATTTTTAAAAAACAACCATTATAGGTTGTCTTCCTATAAGTTGAAAAGTTTTAAGGCTCATATATTTTGGAAATAGAATCTAAAAGCATTTTATTGAAGTGTGTATAACCTTAAGACTTAAAGACCTATGAGAACTAAGTAGTCATTTTTACCTTATTGGAAAATTAGTAAGAAAACCAAATCAAATCTTGCTAAATATATCAACTCCTCCTCAAAAATTAACAGGAAAAGATGTTAATTTTATTCCTTCCTGTCTTCCAATTGTGGTGGGTTAATTTTTGTTCCCTGAAGTTGTCAAAACACTTATTTAGTTTGGGGCAGGAGATGGGGGAAATGGAAGGGTGGAGAAAAAAATGATTTAGCTGTAAATATAGGGAAAGCCTATCATAATTTACCACCACCTCTCTTTCCCTTTTTCACTAAACTTTTTGTCTTGTTAAGGTACTGATTTCTTGTAAAATTCCAGTCTTTCCCAAAACCTATGCTACCTATTGTGTAGCTATTAACCTAACTACCAGAACTGAAACCACAGTGCAGTCAACTGTCATTCAAAATGCTATAGCTCTTTCCTAGGAAGGTCAGCAATCGTAAAGAGTATCTTGATACATGAAGCTGGCAGTTGTGGTTACTGGAACAGGAAACACTAGTCACAGATAAGACCTGGATAAAAGGACAGAAGGTCTGTCTTCAACAAATGTAATATTTCAAATCCAAAGCCAAGTAATGAGCTATGGAAACAATCTGCAAGGAAGTAAGGGTGGAAATCTGTTACAGTTTTCATTTAAATTCAACAAGTTGGACATTGATTTTCAATGGTGGTAGTTCCAAATGCTGTTTGTTATGGCACAGTTGTTATTCTGGCAAAGAGCCAATCATGCTGAGTTCAGCCTTATTTCTAGGTGAAAACAGGTTATTGAAATGTTGTTCTGGGTATGTGGGGTCCAAGCAATTTTTCCATATCAGTTACTAC